TGGTGTTGCATGATATGGAAACAGCTGACACCTTTCCTGTAGTGTTGCATGATATGAAAACAGCTAACATCTTTACTGTGGTGTTGCATGATATGGAAACAGCTGACACCTTTCCTGTGGTGTTGCATGAGATGGAAACAGCTGACACCTTTCCTGTGGTGTTGCATGAGATGGAAACAGCTGACACCCTTCCTGTGGTATTGCATGAGATGGAAACAGCTAACATCTTTACTGTGGTGTTGCATGAGTTGGAAACAGCTGAACCTCCTGGAATTAGATGACTCAGTGAAGTTGATTTGAATTTCAAGATGTCTGTTTTTACTACTAGTATACCTTCTTTTATGAAAGTTTACACCCATGAGAGAGTTTTATTAAGAATTATCTGGCTTGGTAAGAAAATAACCTTTCTGGTGAAATATAAGAACTTTTTATCACACAAAAATTTAAATACATATGTAGCATAGTTGTCCGTTCTGTCATATTTTAAAAGCAGTTACAACAAGGTGTACTATGTATAATATATAAAAGGTGTATTCTCTGTTCAGTATGTAGCATAGTTGTCCGTTCTGTCATATTTTAAACGCAGTTACAACAAGGTGTACTATGTATAATATATAAAAGGTGTATCCTCTATTCAGTATGTAGCATAGTTGTCCATTCTGTCATATTTTAAAAGCAGTTACAACAAGGTGTACTATGTATAATATATAAAAGGTGTATCCTCTATTCAGTATGTAGCATAGTTGTCCGTTCTGTCATATTTTAAAAGCAGTTTTACATAGTACACCTTGTTGTAATATATAAAAGGTGTATCCTCTATTCAGTATGTAGCATAGTTGTCCGTTCTGTCATATTTTAAAAGCAGTTACAACAAGGTGTACTATGTATGATATATAAAAGGTCTATTCAGTATACTTTAATCTGACAAGTTAAAAATCTTTGTAATAAGATTGGAAGTGTTGCTTAAAACTAAAACCTTTGTTTTTAATCATTTGAAAAGAAAATTTTATAGTGCCTACTGAAGTTTCAAACTGCTGTAGATGGTGTTTCAACACACATTGTAGCCAACTTGAGATGCTGTGTTACAGACAAACGTACATCATGACAAACAAATAATGCTCACTTGATGAGTGGTTTTTAGGTACTGCACTTTAAAGGTGTAAAAGATTATCGTGATATTAGTACAAACTACTGATATTTATTTCATGATACAAGTTTCAGTGAGCGATGTTGGAAAAAACAATTATTTAACAGTATTTATGCTTATTGAAGGTTTGTTTTTACGTTATTTTTCAGATTGTTGTTCTACCATCTTCAGTAAAGGAGCTGACCCATTTACAAGAATTTTACCTCTATAGTAACAAACTTCAAACACTGCCACCAGAGATTGGGTGCTTAGTCAATCTCGAAACACTAGCTCTCAATGAAAATTCTCTCACCAGTTTACCAGACTCGCTAGCTAATCTCAAGCAGATTAAGGTTCTTGATCTTCGTCATAATAAATTAAACGAAGTAAGTGACATAACTTGATTTTAAAATTGTTGCTCAGTAGTGTTTTTAAAAATGTTTAAAAAGTTTTGAAATGCTTTTTAGCCATGTTCCAAAATCTGATTGTTATTAATTCTGGGATAAGCTCTGTGTCTGTGTATGTATTGATGACCTTAAAGTTGTTCTTAAATGATAAAGATGTTTCATTGGTGGAACCTGTTTCTTAAAAGTGTTTTCCTAGACTGAGAAGTGATTGAAGAAACCCTTCCTCGATTTATTGAATCAGAATTGAGTTGTAAATTTCTTAATTACCTTCTCAGGTAATGATGAGAAGGGATTGATGATTTGAATTGAATAGATAATCTTGTAGTTACCTGCTGATATAGTGATGAAAAGTCGTTCATCTTCGTACAAATGTTTTTTCAATAAACACTTATAAAATACTGCCTTTGAATCATAAAGTTAACAAACACTAAATAATGTTGACTGCAGTTATAAACACGCTAATTATACTGTTTCTGTTTATTACAAGGTTTATCTTTTTAAACATAATTCCTTTATCAGACCTCGCGTTTCAGTGGTGGTGGTAAACTTCAAATGTCAGACCTCATTTTATAAACATATTTCTGTGTTTTTGTTTGAAAACCAAATCTCGATGTTGGTTCATGTGTTTTGCTACAGATTCCTGACGTTGTGTACACTCTGACCTCTCTTACAATATTACACTTGAGGTTCAACAGGATACGTGAAGTAGGAGAAGATATTGCCAACCTAGTTGTAAGTGACTTTTATTGAATGTTATACAAATAAGTATAGTTCACTGTTTCATGTATTTCAGAATCGAACCAGTATGTTTAACAAAGTTGTAACTTCTCAATTCAACCAGTACATTTAACAAAGTTATAACTTCTCAATGGAACCAGTACGTTTAACAAAGTTATAACTTCTCAATCGAACCAGTACGTTTAACAAAGTTATAACTTCTCAATCGACCCAGTACGTTTAACAAAGTTATAACTTCTCAATCGAACCAGTACGTTTAACAAAGTTATAACTTCTCAATCGAACCAGTACGTTTAACAAAGTTATAACTTCTCAATTGAACCAGTACGTTTAACAAAGTTATAACTTCTCAATTGAACCAGTACGTTTAACAAAGTTATAACTTTTAAATCACACCAGTACGTTTAACAAAGTTATAACTTCTCAATCGAACCAGTACATTTAACAAAGTTATAACTTCTCAATTGAACCAGTACGTTTAACAAAGTTATAACTTCTCAATCGAACCAGTACCTTTAACAAAGTTATAACTTCTCAATCGAACCAGTACGTTTAACAGAGTTCTAACTTTTAATATAATTTCTGATTCTTTAATTTCTTGTTTTTTCTCATTAACTGTTTTGATTTTGAAGTATTGGTGAAGAAATAACGTGATTGAATACAAAGGTTTCAGACAATAATTGGAAAGTGTGTGTTAACAATCTTAGGGAATATATTGACTAAGATGTTTAGAATTCATAACACAAACTTAAAGAACGTTAAGTAAATCAAGAACAATGTATCAGACTCATAACTTATTGTATTTGTGCTCAAATAAGAAATAACCAAAGAATATTTAACTAAAAGTTAGTTAGAAATTCTGACAAAGTTAATATTTTAAAACGTTTTATTTCTATATGACCACAAATTCCAGAGATTCCCCCATAGTAAGATCCTTGTATTCTAAGAATTAAACCATATACAAAAGGATGTGTTGCATGGATTGGATGTGTGATCCACTTGCTACTATTTTTTCCATAAATCCTTGAATAGTGGACAGGTACCAGAGGATTGGAAGTTAGCTAATGTAACTCCTCTTTTCAAGGGAGGTGATAAAAATTGTCCCAGTAATTATAGACCCATTAGTCTTACATCAGTTTTGGGAAAAGGTTTGGAAAACCTGATAAAAGATGCTTTGCAAAGTCATTTAATAAAGTTTAGAATTTTATTGGATAGTCAACATCCTTTTCACTAAGGGAAAATATTGACTAACACATTTTTTGACATTTGAAAATGTTACTGCTTATGTAGATGAGGGTAAGGGTGTAAATTTGGTGTATCTGGATTTTCAGAAAGCATTTGTCAAGGTGTCACATAAAAGGCTTAGTAAAAAAAATTAGACTCTATAGGTTTGGGGATAAATTAGCAAATTGGATAGAAGAGTA